GATGGGAGAGTTGAAGGAGAAGGGAGGGGGAGAGTTGGGGAAGAAAGGGGGAGGGAAAGGAGGGGAGGTGTGGTGAAGAAGAAAGCGGATAGATGGGGGTGAAGTGAGTGGGAAGGAGGGTGAAGTGCGGGGAAGAGGTGTGGGAGAATAGAGAAATGTGTTGGGGAAGAGAGAGGGGGCAAAAGGAAGGGAGTGAGGGATAAGGGGGAATAGGCAAAAGAATGCAAAGGGAAATAAAGACGAGGAGAGAGAGAGAGAGAGAGAGAGAGAGAGAGAGAGAGAGAGAGACGAGAGAGAGAGAGAGAGAGAGAGAGAGAGAGAGAGAGAGAGAGAGAGAGAGAGAGAGAGAGAGAGAGAGAGAGAGAGAGAGAGAGAGAGAGAGAGCACAGAAAAATAAGCGAGTCATGGAGAGGAATGATGGGATGAAGGAGAGCAAAAGGGAAAGTGGAGCGGGGGTGGGGAGACGAAGGATAAAAAGTGAAGTTGAAAGAGGAAAATTGAGGCGAGGTGATTCGTATATCGCCCACACACACACACACACACACACACACACACACACACACACACACACACACACTCGCACACACAGAATTCTTTGATGTGGTTTGCAGGAGAGAAAAATCCTGTTTAATCCCACGTCTGCCTGTGAACAAAATCCAACGAAATGAAAATATTCATTTACACGATATTGACACTTTTATGGCAAACGTTTGACATTTCCAGAACAAGATCATATTTGTTTCCTTCTCGATAGTGAAACGCAATATATTCTACGCCAAGAAAATCACGTTTTTGTCATTCTCTAGATTACATATTTCTGAACGATACACTGTACGAGTTCAACATATATTTGACCAGCATATTAACTATCTAAATCTAATTCTTAAAAGTCTAACTGAGAGATTCAACTTAATATGATCGCTGTTCTAGTAGTCTTCATCTCAATAACGTACTGATAATGATAATAATAATAACAATATTGAATATAACAATAGCAATAATGATAATGATAATAATAAAAAATCAATAACAATGATGATATAATAATATCAATAATGATAATAATGATAATGATATAATAATAATGAGTATGATAACAATAATGATAATAATAATGATAATAATAACAATAATGATAACAATAATAATAATGATAATATTGATGATGATGATAATACTAATGATGATGATAATAATAATAATAGTAATAATAATAACAATAATGATAGTAATGATACTGTTACTACTATTGATAATAATGGTGACAACAGCAGTAGTAGTAGCAGTAATAGTAGTAGTAGTAGTAATAGTAATTATAGTAATGATAATGATAATAGTAGTAGTAATAATAATAATAATAATGATAATAATAATAATATATAAATAATATAATAATAGTAATAATACATTCATAATGACAATAATAATAAACGAACATATGAGAGATTATAATCTTAGAATAAAAATGAAGATAAAAACAATAGTCTATTAAATAAATTCCATCCACAACACTAAACATTTGGCCTTGTGAAGGAAATGGTGTTGCTTGCCAAATATCTGTCATGCGCTCGTTAGTATTCTAACTCTCTCCAGATAGTAGAATATTCAGTATCGAGAGAGAGAGGGAAAGGGGAGAGGGAGAGAGGGAGAGAGAGAGGGAGAGAGAGAGGGAGAGAGGGAGAGAGGAGAGAGGGAGAGAGAGAGAGGGAGGGAGTGAGAGAGGAGGGAGTGAGAGAGGAGAGAGGAGATAGAGAGAGGGAGAGAGAGAGAGAGAGAGAGAGAGAGAGGGAGAGAAGAGGGAGAGGGAGAGGGAGAGGGAGAGGGAGAGGGAGAGAGAGAGATTGAGAGCGATTCATAGATAAACTGACAGATAGATGAATAAACAGCTAGGTTGATGAACAAATAAATAGACATGTATATAAACAGAGTGTGAGAGAAAGAGAGAGACGAGCGATTATAATCAGTTAGTTCTCGGAAATGCTACAAAACTCTCCAAATTTTCTCTCCCTTTCAGCAAAATATTTCGACACCCACGTCGCTCCAAATGGAAAACCAGCTTACACTCTTTTCCACATAAGCACACGGCCACCGTCAGAAAAGAGAGAGATTTTTTTTTTACATATTTCACTTTCAATATTACATCGGCATTGGAGTCGAGAATAACGGTCGATATTTTTCCGATTTTTTGAAGGGGGGGGGGGGCAATTCGTGTGGTTTGGCCTCTTTGGACGACCCAAGACTACTTTTAGCCCCCTGACGTCACCCAGATCTACCCCGAGGGCCTGGCGACTCCCAGTGGATGCCGGCACTCTGACGTGTCGCCGAATCACCCGGCTCTCTTCTTCGGCGCTGAAGGTGGCACTGGGTTAGAGTTTTCTTCCTGTGTTGCTGCAAACCACGGTAGAAAATGAAGATGCAAATGAGCGTTTTATGTCGGTTTGATATCGTGTGGATATGTTGGACTATGAATATGACCTTTTTTTTCCTTTTAAGTACGCGCTTGTCTCCTCTTCGTGGGCATTCGTAGTATTCGTCTGCTTAATTCCTGATCCGTAAACAATATCGTGATATTTATTCGTTACTTGTTAAAAAAAAGGAAGAAGAAGAAGAAGAAAAAACGGTATTCTGATCTATATTTTTCGTCCCAGAAACCCAGGTATATGTCATTCTAATTATATGCTCCAGTTTTATCTACGATAATGCCGTTTAATCCCTTAAAGTCCGGTAATTATCCTTTGCCTTCGACCCTAAATATGTAAGTGCTTTTGCCAACTTGAAACCAACGCCTTTACAGCTACTCGAGAGGTGAGGCGGAGACGCCACCAGTGTGGGAAGAAATTTTTATACCCTTTCATACCCAAAACTCATCTAGAAAACAGACATTCACCACATTTAATCTGCTTTGATATGAGATTTTAGGGTATAATCAGCCAAGCTTAATACGTTTCTTTTTCCTTTTTCAGTCAGATGTTTCAAGTTCTCGTGCTAAGACTGGCGATCGCCTCTGAGCTCTAGACCCCGGAGAGGAAGAAACTATCGCATGCTGTATGCTTGCTCGGTCTGCCATTTTCCCTTGTTAACGGATCAAGAGCGATCTGGAATTATCTGCAAAACCCAGGCTATTCGTACGCGAAAACTTTCCTTTCCTACTTTTCTAATTTTGGTTCTGGTCTTTTGCACTTCGGAAGTTCTGCTTCTCTTTAGCTTTAATTGACCAGATTGGTGGTTTTATCCTTTGCTTAACTCGGAATGAATGATATGCTCATGAACTTTGTCACTTTCTTCTTCCTTTTGCAAATCGTTAATTTCTTGATTTATTTCTAACTTTTAGTCTCGTTTATCGTGTTTCTCAAGCTTTATTTTCTTTAATGCTTCATTGTTTTATTTTGCTCTAATGTAAAAATTGCTTTCCCGTTTCAAAACAGTTTCTCTAATATACTTTAAAAACAGAATAAAAGAAATATATCATCCCACGCAACACAACAGAGAGAGAGAGAGAGAGAGAGAGAGAGAGAGAGAGAGAGAGAGAGAGAGAGAGAGAGAGAGAGAGAGAGAGAGAGAGAGAGAGAGAGAGAGAAACTTATCATTTGGATATATCTTATCCTTAGACACCCATCATATCACTCTCAAATCTGTTCCCATGTCTTAACCAAATCCTAATTTGCAAAACAACACCAGTCACCTAAGATACGATATTCTTTGAAAATAAAATATTTATCCTGCGTAATCTGCAAGAACAGGTGTCTATGCCCAGTATTTGCTTCGGACCCAAGAGGCGAAGGTCCAAGAAGGAAAGAGAAAGGAGATGAAAAGATGAAAGAAGAAGAATATGAAGAAGAAAGGAGAAGAAAATAGGGAGAAAGAGAAAAAAGAAGAAAAAAGAAGAATCAAAGAGATGAAGGAGAACAATTAAAAGAAAGAAGGAGAATGTAAGAAGAAAGTAGAAGAAAAAACAAACAAACAAACAAACATAGAAAAACAAGAGAAGAAGGCAAGAGAAAACAAAAAGAAAGAAGAGGAAAGAAGATGGAGAACAAGAAAGAGAAGAAGGAAAGAGTATAAAAAGAAAAAGAAGAATCAGAAAATAAGAAGTGTAAAAGAGAAGATGAAATAAGATGAAAAAACAAAAGGGAAAATAATAGAAAAAGAAGAAGAAAGAAAACGGATAACTAAATATCGGATATCTAATGTAGATTATAACAAAAAAAGAAAAAAGTAAAAAGAAAAAAAAATCCCACTTGGAAGATGGGTTGACAATGTAATTATTGTAAGCATCTAACGCTTTTTTTTTTGCCCATTATGAATAACGCTGAGTCTAAAATCTTCCTCAGCAGTTGGCTAAATGAAATGCAATTAAAGTCGCGGTTTAAAGTACACATCTGAAGTCAGTCATTTACCTAGAAGCAGCATTCTGTATCAAAATATAGTCGCCTATTTTTCCTTAATTATCTTCAGCTATGTCCGTTAAAGTAATATTTTAGACGTATTTACGCAAATCTTTTAAGTTCGCTTTTCCCTCTCCTCTTGTGCCTCCGCGCTGCGCCAAGGCTCTGCTCGGCCAGCCACACGGTTGTCGTGGCGACGGAAGACGCTTGGCACAGTGCCAGAGACACACGTGGAGGCGCCCTTCCAGGCCCGTCGTCTTCTGGATCGCTTTCCTTCGATTTTGTAAACAAAACTCGTGGCTTTCCTCTCTCTCCGGAAGCAGGTCCTTATTCAAGTTCCTTGTTCCGCTCTGAAGATCGGGAGGCTGTGATGCAGCGCGAATTTGAAGTTAATCTTCGTCTTTGGAACATGTGTGGTCGAGGACGTATCC